TTTCTGAAAGGGGTTTGTCCCACCGAACGCTGCTTCAGTAAACCTGGGGGTCTTGAGCCCCCTTCCAATTTCTCAAGCGTTCGGGCACTATCTCGGGACTATGAGGAACCCAAAAACACGAAGACAGAAAAGCAGGTAAAACAACATGCATTGCTTTACGCACCCCTATACCTCCCAGTCGCACTGGGAGGGTTGCCTGATCCCATTGCTCATCCTCTAGTGACAGGTTCATTTGCCTTCTTAAAAGTTGATCTCAGGTGTGCGTCATATTCATCGAGCGTTGGGTTGTCAAAAGAGGGTGCACACCTCAAGAAGTAAGTGAGTCTTGGCATAGTAAGACACCTTGTGAGGAGATACAGAGCATCATGGGCATCAAGATCGCTTATTCTCTCCTCCATTCTCATCAGGTCATTCAATTTGTCCCTGAGGACAGTATCGATGGCCTGGTGACCCAGCGGTCCCCCCAAGAGGGTACTGTTGGACGGAGTGGTAGTTGAGACTTCCGGGAGGATTCTTCGCACAGCATTGATTATTTCCTGGTTCGCTGTGATGATATCACACTTTGGAGGGATTGAGGATGAGTCCCAAGTCTTCTCCCTGTGTTTTCAACAGTTGTAGGTCCCCCACGAGGGACTCTTTAGTACCTGCCAGAGTGCCGTCATCCAGGTACCAGATATTGAGCTCACTGCGTAGGCTGGAAGTTAGTTCTCTTACTGCCAAGCAGAAGAGAAGTGGAGCGAGTGGGTCACCCTGCTGAACACCCTCTCCAAACAAAAGAATTGAGGGTTTGCTGTAGCCGGCTGAAATGAAGGGAAAGAGACTGGGGAACATATATATATATATATATATATATATATATAATATATAATATATATATATATATATATATATATATATATATATATTATAATATAATATATATACATATATATATATGTCGTGCCGAATATGTAAAACTGGTCAATTAGCAAGAACTCATTTAAAATTATGTTCTTTCTGAAATTTTCTCTTATACGTTTAGAGATATATTTTTTCATTGATGTTAATGTAAAAATTTACAATTTTTCACCAAAAGAATCTTAGAAAACTTACCTAACCTTATTATAACAAGCGCAATTTATTTTAGCCTAACCCAACTAAATATATTTTAGATTTGTTTCCAATAATTTAATACTAAACCAACCCAGTGAAATATATTTTTTTCGTTAGGCTCAGAATGATTTTGGCGAAATTATTGCATACACAAATTTTACAGTGGTCCTATATGGCAAGATGAGCGTTGCTATTTAAGCCAAGATCGCAAGTTCTGCCTATTCGGCACGACATATATAAATAATTAAGAGTAAGACGGAGAATAGGATAGCAGATGAACAAGGAGGCTTTAGGAAAGGTAGGGGGTGTGTGGACCAGGTGTTTACAGTGAAACATATAAGTGAACAGTATTTAGATAAGACTAAAGAGGTCTTTGTGGCATTTATGGATTTGGAAAAGGCGTATGACAGGGTGGATAGGGGGGCAATGTGGCAGATGTTGCAGGTGTATGGTGTAGGAGGTAGGTTGCTGAAAGCAGTGAAGAGTTTTTACGAGGATAGTGAGGCTCAAGTTAGAGTATGTAGGAAAGAGGGAAATTATTTCCCAGTAAAAGTAGGCCTTAGACAAGGATGTGTGATGTCACCGTGGTTGTTTAATATATTTATAGATGGGGTTGTAAGAGAAGTAAATGCGAGGGTCTTGGCAAGAGGCGTGGAGTTAAAAGATAAAGAATCACACATAAAGTGGGAGTTGTCACAGTTGCTCTTTGCTGATGACACTGTGCTCTTGGGAGATTCTGAAGAAAAGTTGCAGAGATTGGTGGATGAATTTGGTAGGGTGTGCAAAAGAAGAAAATTAAAAGTGAATACAGGAAAGAGTAAGGTTATGAGGATAACAAAAATATTAGGTGATGAAAGATTGGATATCAGATTGGAGGGAGAGAGTATGGAGGAGGTGAATGTATTCAGATATTTGGGAGTGACGTGTCAGCGGATAGGTCTATGAAAGATGAGGTGAATCATAGAATTGATGAGGGGAAAAGGGTGAGTGGTGCACTTAGGAGTCTGTGGAGACAAAGAAACTTTGTCCTTGGAGGCAAAGAGGGAATGTATGAGAGTATAGTTTTACCAACGCTCTTATATGGGAGTGAAGCATGGGTGATGAATGTTGCAGCGAGGAGAAGGCTGGAGGCAGTGGAGATGTCATGTCTGAGGGCAATGGTTGATGTGAATATAATGCAGAGAATTCGTAGTTTGGAAGTTAGGAGGAGGTGCGGATTACCAAAACTCTTGTCCAGAGGGCTGAGGAAGGGTTGTTGAGGTGGTTCGGACATTATAGAGAGAATGGAGAGCGAAACAGAGTGAGTTCAAGAGTGTATCAGTCTGTAGTGGAAGGAAGGCGGGGTAGGGGTCGCCTAGGAAAGGTTGGAGGGAGGGGGTAAAGGAGGTTTGTGTGTGCGAGGGGCTGGACTTCCAGCAGGCATGCGTGAGCGTGTTTGATGGGAGTGAATGGAGACAAAGGGTTTTTTTTTTAATACTTGACGTGCTGTTGGAGTGTGAGCAAAGTAACATTTATGAAGGGGTTCAGGGAAACCGGCAGGCCGGACTTGAGTCTGGAGATAGGAATTACAGTGCCTGCACTCTGAAGGAGGGGTGTTAATGTTGCAGTTTAAAAACTGTGGTGTAAAGCACCCTTCTGGCAAGATAGTGTTTGAGTGAATGATGGTTAATTTTTTTCTTTTTCGGGCCACTCTGCCTTGGTGGGAATCGGCCAGTGTAATAATAATAATAAATAATAATATATTTATATGTGTGTGTGTGTGTGTGTGTGTGTGTGTGGGTGTGTGTGTGTGTGTTTTGTGTGTGTGTGTGTGTGTGTGTGTGTGTGTTTGTGTGTCTATGGTCTCACCAGACCATACAATCCTACAAGAATTCATGCCCCAGCAGTGCTATGTGTTTGTACCGTGATCCGAGGACATACGGGGGTTTGTGGGTGCCTCAGAGTTTAATTTCATTCTACTTCCGTTTGGTGTACTAGCCTCCACAAGCAGTGTATATCGAATTGTAACCACGAACGAGTGGGTATTATATCAATAACAACACTGCGACTATCCGGGATTGTATGGTCCCGGGGGGTTAGAGCGTCGTGGAATTTTCACTCACCATGAGATGAGTGAAGTACGCAAAATGGGAAGTAGAATGAAATTAGCTCTGAGGCATCCACACCACCGGCACAGGACCATACACGCCGCCTTGTCAGTGGGCTTCTATTTATAACAGTGTTTATCAAAAGTTTTAGGAGAGATTTATTTACGAGCCTTTTGTAATATATTATGTATGAATTAACATCATAATTGGAGTTGTCGGTTAGTAACACGTCTGCCTCATTTTAAATTTCATTTCTGTTTTAGTTGCTATTGTGAATTTGTTGAAAGATATTTTGAGATATTTTATATCTGTAAGATATGGGGTTTGATATTAAATTGACCTGCAAACAGATGAATGGGAAACCCGATGTTTGCCTGTTTAAAATCTTTTGACGTACATACAATGAGCTCTAATCGATAAAAAAAAATCGCCTGAACTTCGTTACTGAATGTTTTGAAACCGTGCAGAATTGCGGACAAAAACATCGAGAGACAGGGGGCGGCGTTGCTGGCGAAGGAGCCTAGTGAGACCAGGAACTGACACTGATGGAGGGACTGCTCCTCAAGCCAGGACTCTCCCGCAAAAGGACGTGGTCACCCTCATCCTCGACTGCTCTTCGCTGGCATTGATACAGTGAGAATAACTTAAATGATTTTTTCTGATTCTTCTTTTTTTTTCAAGTTATGTGCAGTTTTTCTTAGAAGTTTATTTATTTTTTTTGTTTAAAAGAGCAAAGGTTATCTGCGTTATGTTGGTATATAATACTGGAGCAACTGCATATTACCCATGATATAGCCGATGTAAATGTATGTTTCTCATCTCATATTATCTTAGATAAAAAACGAACACATCAGAATTCTCTTGTCCCTGTTTATTAGCATAGTTTTTAGCAGGTATTAATAGATACAAAACTAAAAAAAATGGCCTTGTTTCATTAGCAAGCTATCCAAATTTATTTTCATCTACAACAACCCTGCAGTCAGTGAGGCACGTGAGAGACGTTCCATTCCAGACAAATCTCACTACTTGTAATGAAAAACTTAAAAAGTTTTTAAGGCAGCGAAGGGTTCATTCGGGATGGTGAGGTCAGAGTAATTTAACAACGATATGTAATTTCGCAAGAGGGAATGCTGATGTTAAACGCCCCAGTGTTGTTTTATATGTGCTTAAACTTTGAACTGCAGGTGCCTCTAGGTTTTTTAGACTATGTATTTTCTATTCGATTCTTTATCGGGAAAAGTTCCAATGCCCAAAATGGACATATGAAAGTGCTGAAATCGCCTGTGATCAACAATGGTACTCACTGTCATGTTCAGGTAACCAGTCAGATCGTCCTAACTCCTTCCCAGAGGGAGTACGGAAATGAAATGTAAAACTTCGTGGTTCCAGATTAGGGAACCAGTGGCTCCCAATCACTCGTAGGTTGGAATGAAGACTGTTTGGACTCACTTTTAACAATTCATAAAAACAAAAATATGAAAGAATAAAAAAGGACTAAGAATAAAACTGGTCGTAGAATAAGCAAATCTATAACATACCAGAAATATTTAAATCCCTATAGCGTTTCAAAGATGAAATGTTAAAGGATTAACTCAGTGTTTTAAGCCATACCGTGAACTTTTTTTTCTCAAATGAATTATATAGAGACTGTATCCCCTACAAGCTACAGTGTAAAGGCCCACAGTGAAATCACGATTGCTGTGAGTACCCCTTGGTCCGGTGACGGGATCTTGCTCCAAGGAACTGGGCTTATCCTCCCCTTCTTTAAACCTGAATGCCTCCCATTCCCTAGGCCCTAAATGATCCATACAGATTCAGCGCTTCACTCTGAATAAAATAAATTAAAATTATTGCTGAGTAAGTGCCCAGGTGATGCTTCGAGCTGTTTCAGATGTTTGGCAGATGGCCATAATACGGATGGTGGTAGTTAGTTATTTAACAGAAGGATGACCCATCTGTTCGATTCTTCACTCTGTTAAAGGTATCGCTTAGAATGTTCCCACTTATTTTTACAACTCTTAATGAAGTAATTGACAAGTTACCCAAAGACATCCTAGCTATGGATATTTTGTTCTGGATAAAAATCCTTAAAGGGGAACACACTTTTTTGGGGGGTGGGGGTTGGGGGGGAAATATGTGAGTACCTGTTTCCTTTTAGATATTATTTGCTGATAAGAAAACATTTACAGTATAATATGTATTCCTCCATTCATATCTGTGAATCTTTCTAAAATACATGAAGACTTCGCACACTCTGGGTTTTGCAATGTACCTACTGGCTAGAAACCCGGAGGTGCAGACTAGACTGCAAGAGGAGGTGGATACTGTGCTCGGGGACCACAAGGGTCCACTCACTCACCATCACCTGGCCAAGCTCCACTACCTCAAGGCTGTCATTAAAGAGTCTATGAGGTATAACCTACACTCATCAGTTATTTTTTTTTTTTTTTTTTGCTTACTTTTAACTTCCCACGATATCGGTAAATACATTTTCAACAATATTGTAATAACAAATATTACAAATATCACTTGTTTACTATGTGATGCATTATCTATTATGCATCATTCAAATATGAATATACAGGATAATCGCTTTTGACGAGATACTCACACAGTTTATTATATTTTAGGTTGCTACCTACAGTGATGGGCTTTGGAAGAACTTTGGATAAGGAACTTGTTATCAGTGGATACTTAATACCTAAAGGGGTTCGTATTACTCACTTATGTATAGTTAACTATATAATGATTTCCTTAAGAAAGGTTATCGTTTAATCAATAAAACGTGCAGATAACTGATAATAATTAAGAACAGACCAAAACATCAAGCTGCTTCTAAAATTTAAAGTATACTTGTGAATTTAATCGTTATCAGGTTGATTTTGTTAACCTGACGAATATCAGAACATTTAACGTGTTTTATTATTTACATAGTGGTCAGTTTTGATAATGAGCATGATGATGGGTTGGGATGAATCGCTCTTCCCTCAAGCGAAGGAGTTCCTGCCCGAGCGGTGGTTGAGGAACAAGTCTCTCGGCACCATTCATCCTTACGCCACATTTCCCTTCGGCGCTGGCACTAGGATGTGCATCGGTCGACGCATCGCTGAGCAAGAGATGTACACCTTTCTAGCTAGAGTAAGTAATCCTCTAGTTTACCTCTTTGTTTTTCTGACTTTTATAACCCCTCGGCTAGTTTTTATTCTAAATTACAAGATATCTGAAAGTAAAATATATATTTAGTTATCAGAATTCAACAGTACCGACTATTCAGTTTTATGAAAGCCGGTAAAGAATGAAGGCATATGTGGTAGCGAAGACTGCATGTGAGAAATATTAGGTAAAGAGTAATGATTCGATTCATTAATCATGAATAATGCTAAATTCCGTCCATCCCTAAGGTATTACTCGCCTAAGTTTTTCTTTTACACTTCTCCCAATCCCCAAGGAAAAATTATTCCTAATTTATTATTAAATACATTCTCAACTCGAAATATCTCAGGAACTATTTATTGATTAATGAAAATAATAATTTATTCGTGTACAGGCAATGCAGCGCTTCACAATTGATTACAAGTATGAAGACCTTGAAGTTATTTGTCGCCTGGTGTTTGCCTCTGCTAAACCACTCAAGTTCAGCTTCACGGAGAGGCGCTGATACTGCTGTAAGAGACGCTGACCAACTGCTGTGAGAGTTGCTGACTGCTGTGACAGGTGTTGACTATTGTTGTGACAGACGCTGACTGATTGCTGTGAGAGATGCTGACCAACTGCTATGGGAGATGCTGACTGACTGCTGTGAGAGATGCTGACTGCTGCAAGAGACGCTGACTGACTGCTGTGAGAGATGCTGACCAACTGCTATGGGAGATGCTGACCAACTGCTGTGAGAGATACTGACTGACTGCTGTGAGAGATGCTAACCAACTGCTATGAGAAATACTGACCAATTGCTTTGAGAGATACTGACCAACTGCTGTAGAGATGCTGACTCACTGCTGTGAGAGATGCTGACTGTTGTAGAGATGCTGACTGACTACTGTGAGAGATGCTGACCAACTGCTGTGACAGACGCCTACCGACTGCTCTAAGAGACGCTGACTCAGGAAGCACTGACTGACTACTATGAGATACGCTGACTCACTATTTTAACATACGCTGACTGACTACTATAAGATGCGCTGCCACTACTATGAGAAGCACTTACACTAACTGTTATGAGAAGCACTGACACTGACTGTTATGAGAAGCGCTGACACTGACTTATGAGAAGTGCTGACACTGACTGGTATGAGAAGCACTGACACTGACTGTTTTGAGAAACATTGACACTGTTATGAGAAGTGCTGACACTGAGTGTTATGAGAAATGCTGACACTGACTTATGAGAAGCACTGACACTGACTTTTGAGAAGCTCTGACACTGTTACGAGAAATGCTGACACTGACTGTTATGAGAAAAACTGACACTGTTATGAGAAGCGCTGACACTGAGTGTGACTTTGTCAATGGTCCAAGTCGGACCGAAACGTCGTCGTAAGCTTCTCTCTTTTATGTGCGGGTTATTTGTGTATCGTTCCAGTCACGGTATTGTGCCTTTTTGTTATTTACTGAGTGTTATGAGAAGCACTGACACTGACTCTTATGAGAAGTGCTGACACTGACTGTTATGAGAAGTGCTGACACTGACTTATGAGAAGTGCTGACACTGACTGTTATGAGAAGTGCTGACACTGACTTATGAGAAGTGCTGACACTGACTGTTATGAGAAGCGCTGACACTGACTTATGAGAAGTGCTGACACTGACTGTTATGAGAAGTGCTGACACTGACTTATGAGAAGTGCTGACACTGACTGTTATGAGAAGCGCTTACACTGTTATGAGAAGCACTGACACTGACTTATGAGAAGTGTTGACACTGACTTAAGAAAAGCACTGACACTGACTTATGAGAAGCACTGACACTGACTTATGAGAAGCACTGACACTTGTCATGTAGGGGGGGCTTGATTGAATGGGGGCTATGGGAGTAAAAGGGGGGAATCAGTAGGTAGGTGACAGCCGAGGCAGTAGGAGGGATGATGCGGAGGTAGGTAGGAGATGACAGGAGAGGTGAGCGGTAGGTAGGTAATGTGAGGTAACTGGTGACTACAACTTCACCTCTCATTACTCTACCCACCACTCCACACTACTCAACCTCTCACTACTTTAACTTAACATAAATAAATGGAGAAAAAATAATAAATAACGGGATGCAGTGAATATTACTATTCTACTCAAACACAGTTTATTATTAAGTCTTTGTACAATAATATATTTGGGAACAGAACACTATTGTGGTTTAGATAAATGGGGTGGTACACATAAGCAGTGAGACAGGGAACACAATCAACTTGACCAAAATGAATATAACTTACAATATAGCACAGAGGACAGTTCACTACAGGAACTAAGCCACAGGTCCCAAGACCTACACAGCACGAGTACTGCACCAAGCCAGTACTCTGCCCAATGCCTCCAACAGTCTCCTCCAGAGACTTCAGCAGCCTTCTCCCGAGCCTGCACCCCAGCAGCAGCTCCTCTCGAATGTCTCTGCTCAGAGCTCTGCACCCAGGCCAGAGCTCTGCCCGAATCTTCTGCTCAGGAGCTCTGCGCCCCAGCAGCAGCTCCGCTCCAATCTCATGATCATGCTCTTCCTTGGGCTTTTATGGTGGTCCAAGCACCCTCCACAACCACGTGTACGACCTGACGCCTAGGTCTGAGGCGTCAAGAACAAAAGACCTCAGACGTGGGCGTGGCTACAGACGTTTGCCAAGGCAAGGTTTGACCATATATTGGTTAAATTAGGTCTCCCCAGAGACCTCACAAGCCCAGCTGGACTACATCACATCCCCCTTTCACCCCAATTTAAAATATCTGAGAACTAGGACAATTTGTCCTAGTTATTAGACTATTTAATCCTAATCCCTTAAATCTATTACAATACAAAGACAAAATTATACATAATACAATTATATTTCCCTCAACCTCCTCAACTACCACAAGGCAGCATAATCAGTACCTCTGGCAGTTGGCCAGCATAATAGTCGCTCTCTGGTGCAAAGCCTCCTTACCCGTTATTTCTCCTTAAACCTAAATATCGGGCTCCAGTGCCTTCCCTACTTCTACTAGAAATGCACTAGCCAATGCTAGTCACCCTCGCACGTTAACCATTGGGCCAAACCTCTCTAGGCTTCTATGGCGTGGAAAACTGCTCCAACGGGTTGCATTCTTTCAAGTAACTGCAACTGCACCACTACACGACCACCAAGGTCGCATTTTCGGCACACTTCACATGCACACTACAACATCTGAAAATCGAGACAGGGCAGGCATCGCAGCTAAGACCCTCCATTATCCTATGCCACTACTAGGATTCACTGGCCTCATAAAACAAGGCGGCCATAATCACTGGACCGTTTTCAAGGTCACCTTATTCCACACAGGTAACACTAACACTTCTGGCAAGTCAAAGTAGGCTGGGGACATCTCACACTCTTAATTGTCTCTCATGGCTGGCAGGGCATCCCCGCATACCTGTCGCACAGGTCGACCAGCAAGGCAGGACACACCACCATGCCGCCCTTGAAAGCAGGCTGGTCCCAGCAGCTGGAGTCCATCTCCGCGGCCTCACGTCCTTCCACATCTCGAGGATGGCAACTCCTTCATAGTAGATTCTCCTGTCCTGGCACACCAGCCAGAATCCCTCACACACCACTGCAGCATCACCGCCATCTCCTCTTGAGCTAGGCAGCATCGCAGCATCACAGCACGGCCACAGCATATCCATCATCACAGCACGGCGTATCACAGCAGCACATAGCACGGCCGTATCACAAGCAGCACACAGCACGGCCACAGCATCGCAGCACGGCTACAGCATCGCAGCACAGTCCCAGCATCACAACACGGCCGCAGCATCTCAACATCACAGCACGGCCGCAGCATCTCAACATCACAGCAGCACACAGCACGGCCACAGCATTGCAGCACGGCTACAGCATCTCAGCACGGCCACATCATAGCAGCACGGCTACAGCATCTCAGCAGCCGACATCAGCAGTAGCAGGCTATGGTCAGTTGCTCGAGGTGAGGTGAGGTCACTTCAGGTCATCAACAGCAGGTGCGGTCACCCATCCCTGGCAACTGCGAGTAACTGGCGGTCCGTGGGTGATGGTCACAGAGGCTGGGTGACGCAGACAGACACCCACTACACTGGATGACAGACCAGGGCAGCAATACATCTACTGGGGCACATCAGCTGGGTGACTGGGCATATCAGCTGGGTGACTAGGCACATCAGGTGGACAGCAATTATAGGCAACTCTTCAATGGGTGACAGTTGTGGGTGAGTCTTCCAAGGTGGGCTGGGTGACTTCTCATTCCTCTGTAAATATTCAATTTCGGCCAGTAATTGCTTCCCCCAAAAGTCTCACCCAAATACTGATATTCTCCACCATTTATCTCAAACCAACAACCAACTGCACCAAATATATTATTACACCCAAACAATTATTCAGACCCACCGTCAAAAAAGGACAGTTAAGGTTACTAGGATTATAATATCATACAGATATTCACTTTAGATTTTACACACAAGAAAAAGAAAGTGGTAGCAAATGGTAGCATAACAAGTATAACCGAGCAGTCAAAAATAAGGCACATGGGACTGGTTCCTACTATAAAAATAATAAGAACCACCACCGCTTAGACAGCATGTCATGTAGTGGGGTAATGATTAAATAGGATATAAGTGGGAAATATGGGAGTAAGGGATTATGTAGGCAGGGGATAGGCAGGCGAGGTGGTAGGTAGGTGACAGGCGTTGCAGTAGGAGAGATGAGTGCGGAGGTAGGTAGGTAATGACAGGTCAGTGGTGACCACCACGACACTCATTAACTCTACACTACTCACTAACATATGCCTCGTCCATTCTTCACTCATATATAAACAATAAAATATAAGAAAAAAAGACAGGGACAGTGAATATTACTATTCTACTCAAACACAGTTTATTATTAAGTCTTTGTACAATAATATATTTGGGAACAGAACACTATTGTGGTTTAGATAAATGGGGTGGTACACATAAGCAGTGAGACAGGGAACACAATCAACTTGACCAAAATGAATGTAACTTACAATATAGCACAGAGGACAGTTCACTACAGGAACTAAGCCACAGGTCCCAAGACCTACACAGCACGAGTACTGCGCCAAGCCAGTACTCTGCCCAATGCCTCCAACAGTCTCCTCCAGAGACTTCAGCAGCCTTCTCCCGAGCCCTGCACCCCAGCAGCAGCTCCTCTCGAAATGTCTCTGCTCAGAGCTCTGCACCCAGGCCAGAGCTCTGCCCGAATCTTCTGCTCAGGAGCTCTGCGCCCCAGCAGCAGCTCCGCTCCAATCTCATGATCATGCTCTTCCTTGGGCTTTTATGGTGGTCCAAGCACCCTCCACAACCACGTGTACTACCTGACGCCTAGGTCTGAGGCGTCAAGAACAAAAGACCTCAGACGTGGGCGTGGCTACAGACCTTTGCCAAGGCAAGGTGTGACCATATAATTGGTTAAATTAGGTCTCCCCAGAGACCTCACAAGCCCAGCTGGACTACTTCACACACTAACTGTTATGAGAAACGCTGACACTGACTTTTATGAGAAGCACTGACACTGACAGTTATGAGAAGTGCTGACACTGACTGTTATGAGAAGCACTGACACTGACTTATGAGAAGAGCTGACATTGACGGTTATGAGAAGCACTGACACTGTTAAAAAGCACTGACACTGACTTATGAAAAACACTGACACTGACTTATGAGAAGCGCTGACACTGTTATGAGAAACGCTGACATTGACTGTTATGAGAAACACTGACACTGTTATGAGAAGTACTGACACTGACTTATGAGAAGCGCTGACACTGACTTATGAGAAGCATTGACATTGTTATGAGAAGTGTGACACTGTTTTGAGAAGCAATGACACTGACTTATGAGAAGCACTGACACTGACTTATGAGAAGCACTAACACTGACTTATGAGAGGCACTGACACTGACTTACAAGAAGTGCTGACACTGTTGTGAAGTGCTGACACTGGCTGTTATGAGAAACACTGGCACTGTTATGAGAAGTGCTGACACTGTTATGAGAAACACTGACACTGTTATGAGAAGTGCTGACACTGAGTGTTAAGAAGAAGCACTGGCACTGACTGTTATGAGAAATGCTGACACTGACTTTTATGAGATGCTCTGACACTGACTTATGAGAAGCACTGACACTGGTTGTTATGAGAAGTGCTGACACTGGCTGTTATGAGACGCGTTGGCACTGACTTGAGAAGCGCTGACACTGACTGTTATGAGAAGCACTGACACTGACTGTTATGAGAAGCACTGACACTGACTTATGAGAAGCGCTGACACTGACTGTTATGAGAAGCACTGACACTGACGTATGAGAATTGCTGACACTGACTTAAGAAAAGCACTGACACTGACTTATGAGAAGTGCTGACCACTGACTGTTATGAGAAGTACTGACACTGACTGTTAAGAGAAGCACTGACACTGACTTATGAGAAGCGCTGACACTGACTTAAGAAAAGCACTGACACTGATTTATGAGATGCACTGACACTGTTATGAGAAGCGCTGACACTGACTTATGAGAAGTGGGGTGACACTGACTTATGAGACGCACTGACACTTATGAGAAGCACTGACACTGACTTATGAGACGCGCTGACACTTATGAGAAGTGCTGACACTGACTTATGAGAAGCGCTGACACTGACTTATGAGAAGTGCTGACACTGACTTATGAGAAGCACTGACACTGACTTATGAGAAGCGCTGACACTGACTTATGAAAAGCACTGGCACTGACTTATGAGCACTGACACTGACTTATGAGATGCACTGACAGTTATGAGAAGCACTGACACTGACTTATGAGAAGCGCTGACACTGACTTATGAGAAGCGCTGACACTGACTTATCAGAAACGCTGAAACTGACTTATGAGAAGCGCCGACACTGACTTATGAAAAGCACTGGCACTGACTTATGAGAAATGCTGACACTGTTATGAGAAACGCTGACACTGACTGTTATGAGAAACACTGACACTGTTATGAGAAGTACTGACACTGACTTATGAGAAGCACTGACACTGACTTATGAGAAGCACTGGCACTGTTTTGAGAAGCGCTGACACTGACTTATGAGAAGCACTGACACTGACTTATGAGAAGCACTGACACTGACTTATGAGAAGCACTGACACTGACTTATGAGAAGCACTGAAACTGTTATGAGAAGCGCTGAAACTGTTATGAGAAGCACTGACACTGACTTATGAGAAGTGCTGACACTGCTATGAGAAGCGCTGACACTATTATGAGAAGCACTGACACTGACTTATGAGAAGCACTGACACTGACTTATGAGAAGCACTGACACTCTTATGAGAAGTGCTGACACTATTATGAGAAGCACTGACATGACTTA